TGTGAGTCCACAGTGTGTGTGAGTCTCCACAGCGTGTGTGAGTCTCCACAGTGTGTGTGAGTCTCCACAGTGTGTGTGAGTCTCCACAGTGTGTGTGTCTCCACAGTGTGTGTGAGTCTCTACAGTGTGTGTGAGTCTCTACAGTGTGTGTGAGTCTCTACAGTGTGTGTGAGTCTCCACAGTGTGTGTGAGTCTCCACGGTGTGTGTGAGTCTCTACAGTGTGTGTGAGTCTCCACAGTGTGTGTGAGTCTCTACAGTGTGTGTGAGTCTCTACAGTGTGTGTGAGTCTCCACAGTGTGTGTGAGTCTCCACAGTGTGTGTGTGAGTCTCCACAGTGTGTGTGAGTCTCCACAGTGTGTGAGAGTCTCCACAGTGTGTGAGAGTCTCCACAGTGTGTGTGTGAGTCTCCACAGTGTGTGTGTGAGTCTCCACAGTGTGTGTGTGAGTCTCCACAGTGTGTGTGAGTCTCCACAGTGTGTGTGAGTCTCCACAGTGTGTGTGAGTCTCTACAGTGTGTGTGAGTCTCTACAGTGTGTGTGAGTCTCCACAGTGTGTGTGAGTCTCCACAGTGTGTGTGTGAGTCTCCACAGTGTGTGTGAGTCTCCACAGTGTGTGAGAGTCTCCACAGTGTGTGAGAGTCTCCACAGTGTGTGTGTGAGTCTCCACAGTGTGTGTGTGAGTCTCCACAGTGTGTGTGTGAGTCTCCACAGTGTGTGTGAGTCTCCACAGTGTGTGTGAGTCTCTACAGTGTGTGTGAGTCTCCACGGCGTGTGTGAGTCTCCACAGCGTGTGTGTGAGTCTCCACAGTGTGTGTGAGTCTCTACAGTGTGTGTGAGTCTGCACAGTGTGTGTGAGTCTGCACAGTGTGTGTGAGTCTCCACAGTGTGTGAGAGTCTCCACAGTGTGTGTGAGTCTCCACAGTGTGTGAGAGTCTCCACAGTGTGTGTGTGAGTCTCCACAGTGTGTGAGAGTCTCCACAGTGTGTGTGTGAGTCTCCACAGTGTGTGTGTGAGTCTCCACAGTGTGTGAGAGTCTCCACAGTGTGTGTGTGTGAGTCTCCACAGTGTGTGAGTCTCTACAGAGGTGGAGGAGTCCTGTAAGGCAGAAAAAAGCAAGACGTTAGTATTAGTGTAGCGACGATTAATGGTAAAGTGAGATTATGACTGGTTAACTTAAGTTGAGGATGTGATCACTGCCTGAGTTCTCATGTTGCACTCACACTCATGTTGCACTCACACTCACACTCATGTTGCACTCACACGCACACCCTCTCTCATGCAGCCTGTCATCCATATTTCTCCTTCACTCTCTCTTTCTGTCTCAGAAAATTTGATATTTTGAAAAGCTGAACAATTCTCAACATTTTACAAGCCCGGATTTAATGAACGCAGTTTACAAAGAATTATGAGTTAATGTTTCTCGCTTCAGTGTTGCGACCAGAGTAAATTGTTATTAAAATAACCTGTGGACCCTGTGAGTAAATATCCTGAGTGTCTCACCTGAGTAACGAGGCTTATGTGTCTCTCAACGCCGCTCGTGAGGTGAAGAGGCTGACAGCACACAGATGTGTTGAGCACATTCCACTCCAGTAACCCAGCCTCCAGGGGGCGCCCTAAGGGAGCCCCGCACTCTCTCCTCACACGCTACGATCTTTCACTCTCATATATCTCTTGACTTTTCTCTCTTACGGCTCGTAGGATGTTACTGTCAGCAGCGCTATTGGTCACGCTCGGTACTGACACACTATGGTGACACTGTGATCACTGTGATTACACTGTGCTCACTTTGTAGTGACTCTGAGAGCGTTATGATGAGAGCTGAGCCTCGTCAACACTACCCAAGCGCTCCTTGGATCACTGAGATTAGAGACGTTGCCACGGGGACCTACAAGTCAAACACCTGTGGCGTGAACACCTTCGCACCTGCGTTGCACCTGGTCCATATTAATTAAGAGGCTAGCGCAGGTAGTATGAGGCGTCGTGGTAGGTGTTCATCACACTATCTTCCTCACCAAGTCTCCTACCTCACTCATACATGTATAGGTGCTTCATGACATTATAATAGCCTAGTTCAGTCCTGTACATAATCCAGGACTAATGTAAATCCCTCAGAGTATATATATATATATACCTGATTACCTCGTATGAAAGTGAGATATATCTCATGATGTGTATGTTTTCATGATTCATCCGCCAGTGATGTGCACGTTTATCGCCTCTATACACACGTGGGGAGCTGTGATCCCCAGTCAGGTGTGTGAGTACACACACACACACCAGCAGAGAGAGAGAGGAGCACCAGGACTCGTACACACACACCAGCAGAGAGAGAGAGGAGCACCAGGACTCGTACACACACACACCAGCAGAGAGAGAGAGGAGCACCAGGACTCGTACACACACACACACACACACACCAGCAGAGAGAGAGAGGAGCACCAGGACTCGTACACACACACCAGCAGAGAGAGAGAGGAGCACCAGGACTCGTACACACACACCAGCAGAGAGAGAGAGGAGCACCAGGACTCGTACACACACACACACAATCAGCAGAGAGAGAGAGGAGCACCAGGACTCGTACACACACACACACACACACACACACACACACACACACACACACACACACACACACACACACACACACACACACAGGCCCTCCTAGGCCCCTCCTAGGGGCCTCGTAGCCTGGTGGATAGCGCGCAGGACTCGTAATTCTGTGGCGCGGGTTCGATTCCCGCACGAGGCAGAAACAAATGGGCAAAGTTTCTTTCACCCTAAGTGCCCCTGTTACCTAGCAGTAAATAGGTACCTGGGAGTTAGTCAGCTGTCACGGGCTGCTTCCTGGGGTGTGTGTGTGTGGTGTGGAGAAAAAAAAAAAAAAAAAGAACGTAGTTAGTAAACAGTTGATTGACAGTTGAGAGGCGGGCCGAAAGAGCAAAGCTCAACCCCCGCAAAAACACAACTAGTAAAACACACACACACCAGCAGAGAGAGAGAGGGGAGCACCAGGACTCGTACACACACACCAGCAGAGAGAGAGAGAGGAGCACCAGGACTCGTACACACACACCAGCAGAGAGAGAGAGGAGCACCAGGACTCGTACACACACACACACACACACACACACCAGCAGAGAGAGAGAGAGGAGCACCATGACTCGTACACACACACACACACACACACACACACCAGCAGAGAGAGAGAGGAGCACCAGGACTCGTACACACACACACACACACACCAGCAGAGAGAGAGAGGAGCACCAGGACTCTACACACACACCAGCAGAGAGAGAGAGGAGCACCAGGACTCTACACACACACACACACCAGCAGAGAGAGAGAGGAGCACCAGGACTCTACACACACACCAGCAGAGAGAGAGAGGAGCACCAGGACTCTACACACACACACACACCAGCAGAGAGAGAGAGGAGCACCAGGACTCTACACACAAGTGGTGTGTCAAGATCTACATCAAACGTGTTTCACTTTTTAATGACAATCATAAATTTGTCCAGATATTAACTGGGAATAAATTTAATTGATGATGGAGTGGCTTGTCGGTGGAATGGCTTACTCTATACTAGTGTGAGGGGGAGGGTCGTGGTGCACGGGGTCGTGGTGCACGGGGTCGTGGTGCACGGGGTCGTGTGAGGAGGCAGGACACACACTATACTAGTGTGAGGGGGAGGGTCGTGGTGCACGGGGTCGTGGTGCACGGGGTCGTGTGAGGAGGCAGGACACACACTATACTAGTGTGAGGGGGAGGGTCGTGGTGCACGGGGTCGTGTGAGGGGGCAGGACACACACTAAATACTAGTGTGAGGGGGAGGGTCGTGGTGCACGGGGTCGTGTGAGGAGGCAGGACACACGCCACACTAGTGTGAGGGGGAGGGTCGTGGTGCACGGGGTCGTGTGAGGGGCAGGACACACGCCATACTAGTGTGAGGGGGAGGGTCGTGGTGCACGGGGTCGTGTGAGGGGGCAGGACACACGCCACACTAGTGTGAGGGGGAGGGTCGTGGTGCACGGGGTCGTGTGAGGGGGCAGGACACACGCCATACTAGTGTGAGGGGAGAGTCGTAGTGGGGTCGTGCGACAAGGGTGACAGTCCTGCATGGAGAAGCATGCCAGGAGAGGTTTAGCAAGAGCCTCGACACTAATCCTCCCGTATTCCTAGTCATGATTGCCATCAGGCTATCACACACCTCACCATCAGGTCGACCAACACACCTCACTACCAGGTCGACCAACACACCTCACTACCAGGTCGACCAACACACCTCACTACCAGGTCGACCAACACACCTCACTACCAGGTCGACCAACACACCTCACCATCAGGTCGACCAACACACCTCACCATCAGGTCGACCAACACACCTCACCATCAGGTCGACCAACACAACTCACCATCAGGTCGACCAACACAACTCACCATCAGGTCGACCAACACACCTCACCATCAGGTCGACCAACACAACTCACCATCAGGTCGACCAACACAACTCACCATCAGGTCGACCAACACAACTCACCATCAGGTCATTACACATGCATCTATCCGGTCATTACACAATCAGATCACCCCCTCTTCTTACCCCAATATTTGTACCTTAGGCAATCACAAATTACCCAACCATCTCGTTATTGATAACACCCCCATGGAGCTCAGAATGCATCAGCTTGATAACCTCCAGCAAGAGCAACCACCGCTACACTTAGAGGCACCAGCGCCCGTAGCCTAAACATAATTTTGTTGCTAAAAGATCATGGATTTTGTGAAAGGTGTTGACCGATGCCTGATCGCGCTCGCCAGCACGATCGGAGGAGGAGGAGGAGTCCAGACGTCCGCTCTTCGTCTAGGTTGAACCAGGAGTCGCCCTGGCACCGGTGTATTGATAGCGTCAGATGGTCGCTTCTACTCTTGTTGTGCCATTGTTTACCTTACAAATTGCCGGTAATCAGGCTCATGTCAATTAATGTATTGTTAAGACGTCGATATTTACTCTCCAAAGGGTGAAAGGTAAGTCTGAAGTTACTTCTGGCGTTGACGTGTGTGAAGCAGTAGAGATAATGTTCGAGTGCCTCTGGAACATGGCAGTAGAGGCAGTCTTAATTAACGTTTATACAGGATGTATAGTCTGGTGTGTCCCTGGCGTTGTCTGGTTATTATTTGTATATAGTTGTCGGGGTTTGTTGTTGATGTGTTGCAAGCTTCCCAGGTATGTTGGAGAACATGACATTTCCTTTACCACTATGAACGTTTGGGTGGTGGTGGAGCTATAGTATCTTAATAGTATCTATCCTAATTATCGTGATCTCAAGTACTTAAGGTCTGAGTAGTGTTCATATATCTTACTATAATTATACTGATTCATTATTCCACTAATATATAAGTTTGGAATTAGTAAGATTCCCAGATTTTCTATACAAGCCATGATATGTTCGGGAGGTGTTCCAACACCTGTTAACATATAACATTGTACTGTTCACTAGTACACATATACTGATATTGAATATATGTGTATTACAAGCGAGCTTACACTTCCATAAAGTATAATGACTGTGCGGAATTTTGTTTGAGGTGCGTAACGTGATTCAGGTAGCCTAGTGCGGACTAAGGCTAGGCGCCTCTGAGGCCACCCGTGTCACGGTACCACCTCCCTGGCTTACTGTGTGGTATGTGTCAAGGCTTACAACCATGATACGAGGTCCCGTGGAAGACTGTGAAGCTTGTGCCTCGCAGTCTCCGTCTGACCTAGTCACCATCTAGCTCTTCACTACTAGCAACTAGCACGAGCGAGCAGTCCACACCCCTCTGCTAGTGCCGACAGTGTTCCTCTTCCGCGCTCCACCACCCACACCTTAAGGTACGTCAGAGGCCTCCCAACACCGGATACTCCGCAGGAGTGCATATTGTAGTGCAGTAACGTGGAGGGCTGATGCAGGAGTGTGGGGCCCTGGTGTGTGTGTGTGTGTGTGTGTGTGGGGCCTGGTGTGTGTGTGTGGGTCCTGGGGTGTGTGTGAGGCCTGGTGTGTGTGTGTGGGCGTGGTGTGTGTGGGGCCTGGTGTGTGTGTGGGGCCCTGGTGTGTGTGTGTGGGCGTGGTGTGTGTGTGAGGCCTGGTGTGTGTGTGTGAGGCCTGGTGTGTGTGTGTGGGCGTGGTGTGTGTGGGGCCTGGTGTGTGTGTGAGGCCTGGTGTGTGTGTGAGGCCTGGTGTGTGTGTGTGAGGCCTGGTGTGTGTGTGTGGGCGTGGTGTGTGTTGGGCCTGGTGTGTGTGTGAGGCCTGGTGTGTGTGTGTGAGGCCTGGTGTGTGTGTGAGGCCTGGTGTGTGTGTGAGGCCTGGTGTGTGTGTGAGGCCTGGTGTGTGTGTGTGAGGCCTGGTGTGTGTGTGTGAGGCCTGGTGTGTGTGTGTGTGAGGCCTGGTGTGTGTGTGTGAGGCCTGGTGTGTGTGTGAGGCCTGGTGTGTGTGTGGGGCCTGGTGTGTGTGTGGGGCCTGGTGTGTGTGTGTGTGTGAGGCCTGGTGTGTGTGTGGGGCGGGAAGCAGTGCGAATGGTCGGTAAATATACCTTCCCTATATTACTTTGTCTCCCCCACAAAGCTCAAGAGACAATCAGTCTCTTCCACAGGAAACATAGATCATGCAGCGACAATCGTGTTCTCCAAAACTCTTGTTACTTCTTTATTTTTCTAATGATTTTCCTATCTGGATGAGAATGAGTTGGCATCCCTGTAGACGTATTTAGATCTTCCATACTGATTTCCCTTGACGCCCATATACTATGGTTCTGTTAGGCTTCTGAACATGGTCCCAGTAGAGTGAGAACCATATGATTGCCTTAAAACCTACATTTGTATTATATTCTCACTTGATATGCTATTTGTATGACTGTATTATCATTCTTCTTTGAGTAAATATGGTTTGAACTCCACAGGGACATGTTTCACTATCTCCTCTTTCTGTTTTCAGATAAAAGTCGTGTTAATGTGGAAGAGGTAAGTCTGTTGGGCAGTGTGTGAGGTCGCCCTCCACCTGAGGCAGTGTGTGAGGTCGCCCTCCACCTGAGGCAGTGTGTGAGGTCGCCCTTCACCTGAGGCAGTGTGTGAGGTCGCCCTCCACCTGAGGGCAGTGTGAGAGAGGTCGCCCTCCACCTCAGGCAGTGTGAGAGAGGTCGCCCTCCACCCCCGAGGCAGTATCATACTGACAGGGCCGCCACACACCAGCTGCCGCCTGAAGGAACGACAACTATAGCCATACATGGTAGACACACAACGTGTCGCCCTCAGCAAAAATACGGCATAGCATCTTTACTACGATACTCTATGGTATCGTAGGCAAGTTCAAGATGTAAACCAGGGATAGGACCAAGAACTGGATTGATCTTAAATGTAATACTGCTGATGAAGACTAAGCACTGAAGATTTAAGGAGCCCCCGTGCGGGAGATGACAACAAACCATGTTTCCTGAAGGACTCATCGAAGTGTTTAACCTGTTATAAGACTGGTGGCCAGACTCTGTTGGATGTGACTCACACGGCAGCCTTTGGTCACGCGTAACAACTACGATGAGACAGAACAACAACAAGAATAAACGAAAACAAATTACCTGAGTTTCTGGACGGGTGTGAAGTCATGATAAACCGAGTCTTCAAAAATCAAAACTGAAACCTACGTATGAAATGAGGCACATAACAGAGTAAAGATCTTTTAAGAACTGATATATTTTAAGATTGTACGTCTTAGTTCTTATTAGTAGTTCTTAATGTAGTCATTAGTTCTATTAGTGCCATTTCTTGGAAAATATTATCCCAAGTAAAACTGATTTGGAGTTCTATGATTCCAACAAGATGGAGAACACTGAAGACCAACAGTGGAGAAATGACAGAAGATTAAGTCACGACATGTCAATTCCCGATATTCAAATTACTGACACAAGCGTAGACAATGTGGAAGAAAGCAGCCGGGGCGCTACAACAACTCCAAATATGTTTGGCCGCAAGTCAAGCACCGGATCTCTTCCCGACACACAGACTCAGACGCCATCCACCGGCCAGGTTGAAGAGAGCCTCGACGGCGCTAGACGCGATTCTCTTTCCAGGCACAAGCCTAGGGAAGGTTCCATGTCCGACCTGCAGAGGACCGCTAAGTTCCACCAGGACAGCCAGACTCCCACTTCACCTGGCCACAGTGAAGCGCTGCTTCCTGTTGACATAGAAACTCTACGTTCTCTTCCTGATCTCCATGACTATATGACATCTTCCAGACCTTCTTCAACAGAGAGACTGACACCAGAATCTCTTAGTGAGCAAAGACAGCCTAATGACAGAGATTCGTCCACAGACAGACGCCGCCGGCGGTCAGTGAATGACATCTCGTTCAATATTCAGCCCCGTAAATCAATAACTGAATTCACGCCGAAAATGCAGGCGCAGATAGCGATTTTTGAGCCCTTGATGAATGAACGCAGATTAAGTTGTGACTTGACCCCCAGTGTCGACTATCACGGGTCGACTGGAGATGTCGCGTCAGCTGCGGGTCGTCGCGCGTCGACCAGAGGGGACGAGTCAGCTGCGGGTCGTCGCGGGTCGACCAGAGGGGACGAGTCACCTGCGGGTCGTCGCGGGTCGACCAGAGGGGACGAGTCACCTGCGGGTCGTCGCGGGTCGACCAGAGGGGAAGAGTCACCTGCAGGTCGTCGCGGGTCGACCAGAGGGGACGAGTCAGCTGCAGGTCGTCGCGGGTCGACCAGAGGGGACGAGTCACCTGCGGGTCGTCGCGGGTCGACCAGAGGGGACGAGTCACCTGCGGGTCGTCGCGGGTCGACCAGAGGGGACGAGTCACCTGCAGGTCGTCGCGGGTCGACCAGAGGGGACGAGTCACCTGCGGGTCGTCGCGGGTCGACCAGAGATGACCAGTCAGCTGGGGGTCGTCGTCGGTCGACCAGAGTTAATGAGCCAGACATGGAACGTCGAAAATCGACCAGAGGAGATGAACCAGACTTGGAACGTCGAAAATCGACCAGAGGAGATGAACTAGACTTGGAACGTCGAAGATCGACCAGAGGAGATGAATCAGACTTGGAACGTCGAAAATCGACCAGAGGAGATGAACCAGACTTGGAACATCGAAGATCGACCTTACTTGATGAACCAGACATCGAACGTCGAAGATCGACCAGAGGAGATGAACCAGACTTGGAACGTCGAAGATCGACCTTACTTGATGAACCAGACTTGGAACGTCGAAGATCGACCAGACTTGATGAACCAGACATCGAACGTCGAAGATCGACCAGAGGAGATGAACCAGACTTGGAACGTCGAAGATCGACCATACTTGATGAACCAGACTTGGAACGTCGAAGATCGACCAGAGGAGATGAACCAGACTTGGAACGTCGAAGATCGACCTTACTTGATGAACCAGACTTGGAACGTCGAAGATCGACCTTACTTGATGAACCAGACATCGAACGTCGAAGATCGACCAGAGGAGATGAACCAGACTTGGAACGTCGAAGATCGACCTTACTTGATGAACCAGGCTTGGAACGTCGAAGATCGACCAGACTTGATGAACCAGACATCGAACGTCGAAGATCGACCAGAGGAGATGAACCAGACTTCGAACGTCGAAGATCGACCATACTTGATGAACCAGACTTGGAACGTCGAAGATCGACCTTACTTGATGAACCAGACTTGGAACGTCGAAGATCGACCAGAGGAGATGAACCAGACATGGAACGTCGAAGATCGACCAGACTTGATGAACCAGACTTGGAACGTCGAAGATCGACCAGAGGAGATGAACCAGACTTCGAACGTCGAAGATCGACCATACTTGATGAACCAGACTTGGAACGTCGAAGATCGACCTTACTTGATGAACCAGACTTGGAACGTCGAAGATCGACCAGAGGAGATGAACCAGACATGGAACGTCGAAGATCGACCAGAGGAGATGAACCAGACATGGAACGTCGAAGATCGACCAGAAGAGATGAACCAGACTTGGAACGTCGAAGATCGACCTTACTTGATGAACCAGACTTGGAACGTCGAAGATCGACCAGAGGAGATGAGCCAGACTTGGAACGTCGAAGATCGACTAGAGGAGATGAACCAGACATGGAACGTCGAAGATCGACCAGAGGAGATGAACCAGACATGGAACGTCGAAGATCGACCAGAAGAGATGAACCAGACATGGAACGTCGAAGATCGACCAGAGGAGATGAGCCAGACTTGGAACGTCGAAGATCGACCAGAGGAGATGAACCAGACATGGAACGTCGAAGATCGACCAGAGGAGATGAACCAGACATCGAACGTCGAAGATCGACCAGAGGAGATGAACCAGACTTCGAACGTCGAAGATCGACCATACTTGATGAACCAGACTTGGAACGTCGAAGATCGACCAGAGGAGATGAACCAGACTTCGAACGTCGAAGATCGACCTTACTTGATGAACCAGACTTGGAACGTCGAAGATCGACCAGAGGAGATGAACCAGACTTCGAACGTCGAAGATCGACCTTACTTGATGAACCAGACATCGAACGTCGAAGATCGACCAGAGGAGATGAACCAGACTTGGAACGTCGAAGATCGACCAGAGGAGATGAACCAGACTTGGAACGTCGAAAATCGACCAGAGGAAATGAACCAGACTTGGAACGTCGAAGATCGACCAGAGGAGATGAACCAGACTTGGAACGTCGAAGATCGACCAGAGGAGATGAACCAGACTTGGAACGTCGAAAATCGACCAGAGGAAATGAACCAGACTTGGAACGTCGAAGATCGACCAGACTTGATGAACCAGACTTGGAACGTCGAGGATCGACCAGACTTGATGAACCAGACTTCGAACGTCGACGATCGACCAGAATAGGTGAACCAGACATGGAACGTCGAAGATCGACCAGACTTGATGAACCAGACTTGGAACGTCGAAGATCGACCAGACTTGATGAACCAGACTTGGAGCGTCGAAGATCGACCAGAAGAGATGAACCAGACTTGGAACGTCGAAGATCAACCTTACTTGATGAGTCAGACATAGAACGTCGAAGATCGACCAGACTTGATGAGCCAGACATGGAACGTCGAAGATCGACCAGACTTGATGAACCAGACTTGGAACGTCGAAGATCGACCAGACTTGATGAACCAGACTTGGAACGTCGAAGATCGACCAGAGGAGATGAACCAGACTTGGAACGTCGAAGATCGACCTTACTTGATGAACCAGACTTGGAACGTCGAAGATCGACCTTACTTGATGAACCAGACATGGAACGTCGAAGATCGACCAGACTTGATGAACCAGACTTGGAACGTCGAAGATCGACCAGACTTGATGAACCAGACTTGGAACGTCGAAGATCGACCAGAGGAGACGAACCAGACTTGGAACGTCGAAGATCGACCAAAGGAGACGAACCAGACATGGAACGTCGAAGATCGATCTTACTTGATGAACCAGACATCGAACGTCGAAGATCGACCTTACTTGATGAACCAGACCTCGAACGTCGAAGATCGACCAGAGGAGATGAACTAGACTTGGAACGTCGAAGATCGACCAGAAGAGATGAACCAGACTTGGAACGTCGAAGATCGACCAAAGGAGACGAACCAGACATGGAACGTCGAAGATCGATCTTAATTGATGAACCAGACTTGGAACGTCGAAGATCAACCTTACTTGATGAGCCAGACATGGAACGTCGAAGATCAACCAGAGGAGATGAACCAGACTTGGAACGTCGAAGATCGACCAGAGGAGATGAACCAGACTTGGAACGTCGAAAATCGACCAGAGGAAATGAACCAGACTTGGAACGTCGAAGATCGACCAGACTTGATGAACCAGACTTGGAACGTCGAGGATCGACCAGACTTGATGAACCAGACTTCGAACGTCGACGATCGACCAGAATAGGTGAACCAGACATGGAACGTCGAAGATCGACCAGACTTGATGAACCAGACTTGGAACGTCGAAGATCGACCAGACTTGATGAACCAGACTTGGAGCGTCGAAGATCGACCAGAAGAGATGAACCAGACTTGGAACGTCGAAGATCAACCTTACTTGTTGAGTCAGACATAGAACGTCGAAGATCGACCAGACTTGATGAGCCAGACATGGAACGTCGAAGATCGACCAGACTTGATGAACCAGACTTGGAACGTCGAAGATCGACCAGACTTGATGAACCAGACTTGGAACGTCGAAGATCGACCAGAGGAGATGAACCAGACTTGGAACGTCGAAGATCGACCTTACTTGATGAACCAGACTTGGAACGTCGAAGATCGACCTTACTTGATGAACCAGACATGGAACGTCGAAGATCGACCAGACTTGATGAACCAGACTTGGAACGTCGAAGATCGACCAGACTTGATGAACCAGACTTGGAACGTCGAAGATCGACCAGAAGAGACGAACCAGACTTGGAACGTCGAAGATCGACCAAAGGAGACGAACCAGACATGGAACGTCGAAGATCGATCTTACTTGATGAACCAGACATCGAACGTCGAAGATCGACCTTACTTGATGAACCAGACCTCGAACGTCGAAGATCGACCAGAGGAGATGAACTAGACTTGGAACGTCGAAGATCGACCAGAAGAGATGAACCAGACTTGGAACGTCGAAGATCGACCAAAGGAGACGAACCAGACATGGAACGTCGAAGATCGATCTTAATTGATGAACCTGACTTGGAACGTCGAAGATCAACCTTACTTGATGAGCCAGACATGGAACGTCGAAGATCGACCAGAGGAGATGAACCAGACTTGGAACGTCGAAGATCGACCAGAGGAGATGAACTAGACTTGGAACGTCGAAGATCGACCAGACTTGATGAACCAGACTTGGAACGTCGAAGATCGACCAGAGGAGATGAACCAGACTTGGAACGTCGAAGATCGACCAGAATAGATGAACCAAACTTGGAACGTCGAAGATCGACCAGAGGAGATGAACCAGACTTGGAACGTCGAAGATCGATCTTACTTGATGAACCAGACCTCGAACGTCGAAGATTGACCTTACTTGATGAACCAGACCTCGAACGTCGAAGATCAACCAGAGGAGATGAACCAGACTTGGAACGTCGAAGATCGACCAGAGGAGATGAACCAGACATGGAACGTCGAAGATCGACTTTACTTGATGAGCCAGACATAGAACGTCGAAGATCGACCAGACTTGATGAGCCAGACATGGAACGTCGAAAATCGACCAGAGGTGATGAACAAGACATGGAACGTCGACGATCGACCAGAGATCTTGAGTCACAAACTGATCATTTTGGATCGACCAGACGTCACGGCCCAGATTTGAGAAGTGGAGAGTCGACCAGTGGTGGGGAAGGAGACGGGCACCGTGGAGAGTCAGACAAAGAAGAGGCTCCACGGATGGTGCGCCATATAGAAAAGGATTTTGGAAGGGAGGATATAGACCCACTGGAACGACGCATGTGGACCCAGCGGGAGGCTGAAGATGAGGGCAAGTCGCCCACCTCTACACCAGCCGACAAGCTCCCTCTCCGTTCTCCTGATCCTCAAGCACGAGGAGCAGATGGTGATTTGGTGGATGAAAATAATTCTGAGAAAGCTGCAGATATTGGGGAAAAGTTCTTGAAGCTAGCGGAGCCGTATCTTCAGTACCGCAAGTCAATTACAGACCTAGAACCATATCTTCAATTCCAGGACGAGATATATAAATTAACGCCAGAGATTCAGTCGCAATGGTCAACAAATGACGAAAGTTTAGAAACAAAATCTCTTGATTCTACTGAGAGGCAACGACGGCGGTCAGACAGGAGTTCCGATACAGACAACATAGATTCTGACTTCCAGCACGAGACAAGTCAACAGGTCGGAAGAGAGCGAAACAGTCCCACTCCAGTGTCAGAGACCGAGCGTCGCACACAGCATTATACACAACCAGAGGCATTGTCTCAACCGCTCTCAGAGATCATGACTCAAGGTATTCGCCGCTCAGTTGCTGAAGATAACACGGATTATAACCCGAGTTCGGGCAGCGATGCGGATTCAGAACTCGATGTAGAGTGGGTGCTAAATGACCCCGCATCAAATCTTGAATACCAGAAACCCACCAGAGATGTATCGGCCGGAGGATCAAGTGACGAATCAGAACCGGAACTCATGACGTACCGTGTTTCTGACGTCTGGGAAGATGGACGAGGGCTGAGGAGCAGCACACCAAGCGACTCCCAGCCCCACAAGACAGTCACCGAGGAGGAATCACTGGGTTTAGAACAGCGTCACTCCAGGGAAGAACCGTTTGATAGTGACGAACCACGCAAGTCTATTGGCTTGGTAGTGCTCAGCAGTGAACCAGTGCCGGACCACCAGTCTCCAGTGCCATCACATCTTGTGGACCAAGATGGACGAAAATTATTTAACGAGTTACCCAAATGTTCATCAACGGCAGGATTGGAGACTCGTTCACCGAGAGGTTCTACGGCAGGATTGGAGCCTCGTTCACCGAGAGGTTCTACGACAGGATTGGAGCCTCGTTCGCCGAGAGGTTCTACGGCAGGATTGGAGCCTCGCTCACCCAGAGGTTCAACGGCAGGATTGGAGTCTCGTTCACCCAGAAGTTCTACGGCAGGATTGGAGCCTCGCTTACCCAGAGGTTCAACGGCAGGATTGGAGCCTCGCTCACCCAGAGGTTCTACGGCAGGATTGGAGCCTCGCTCACCCAGAGGTTCAACGGCAGGATTGGAGCCTCGCTCACCCAGAGGTTCTACGGCAGGATTGGAGCCTCGCTCACCCAGAGGTTCTACGGCAGGATTGGAGCCTCGCTCACCCAGAGGTTCTACGGCAGGATTGGAGCCTCGCTCACCCAGAGGTTCTACGGCAGGATTGGAGCCTCGCTCACCCAGAGGTTCTACGGCAGGATTGGAGCCTCGCTCACCCAGAGGTTCTACCGCAGGATTGGAGCCTCGCTCACCCAGAGGTTCAGATGTAGAACTGGTAGATCAAACCCCCATAAGGCCGTCAGCATTCTTAGACAGTCACTGGGCCCCTAAGGGTTCCACAGGTGGCTCGGAGACTCGCTCACCCAGAGGTTCTACGGCGGGCTTGGAGACTGGCGAGCCAGAGGTGGCGATGAGCGTAGAACCTCGGCGACGCTCCATAACCACTACAGTCATCGACTTCCTGGCCAGTAGGCTGAGTGCGGATCAGCAGCCGCCAAGCGACATGGACTCAGCACCTCCCCGACACCTGGATGAGCTCAGCGCCACCTCTCAGCCGCCAGAGAACTCAGCTAGTTGCCTGGAAGAGTCACTCGGAGATTTTAAACAAGACCAGAGAGGTAGAATATTACCAAGAAGTTCGGTAGGTAACTTGGAGGATCGTAAATCACTCACAGCTTCCATAGGTGACCAGCAAGATTTAAAGTTACTCAGAGTTTCAGTGACAGACTTTGATGATTATGAGTCTTCCAAAATTTCCACAGAGGACCACCAGGGCGATCACATATCGCCCGAAGATTCTGTAGATGAACTGGAAATTCACAGGTCTTTCCGAGACTCAGTGGACGATGTAGAGGTTCGTAGATCATCCAAGCGTTCAGGCGTCGGCGCAGGCGACGATCAGGAGTCCCTCAGGGAGAAGATAACGGTACCCAGTTTTTCCCTGTCGGACGATGAGGAAAAGTCGACATCGAACCTTGATGGAAGTTCCAGCGAGTCAGAGTCCGAGAGCAAAATCCGCCGATCCAGCAGCACTGCACTTCCAGGGTTCCATGACCTTAGGGCCTTCCCCGAAGTAGCTCAGAAGCAGGAGTCGAACACTGAACCCGAGCCTATAGTTACTAACGAACCCAGAAGGTCAATCGGAATGGAAATGTTTAATAATCTGGTGCGACGGTTCAGTAATGTGGAGGCTGAGAGCGACACCTCCCAGCTCCTGGGGCTGGGTGCTCAAGCTGCTAGGACATCCCCCAGAGGTTCACTCGTCACCCAGGAAGATCACAACTTACTCGCAAGTTCAGATCATGACATACATGATAGCAGGTCACCCAGAGGTTCAGTACCGGACATTGATGTTCACAGGTCACCCAGAGGTTCAGTACCGGACACTGATGCTCACAGGTCACCCAGAGGTTCAGTACCGGACACTGATGCTCACAGGTCACCCAGAGGTTCAGTACCGGACATTGATGCTCACAGGTCACCCAGGGGTTCAGTACCGGACATTGATGCTCACAGGTCACCCAGGGGTTCAGTACCGGACATTGATGTTCACAGGTCACCCAGGGGTTCAGTACCGGACATTGATGTTCACAGGTCACCCAGAGGTTCAGTACCGGACACTGATGCTCACAGGTCACCCAGAGGTTCAGTACCGGACACTGATGCTCACAGGTCACCCAGAGGTTCAGTACCGGACATTGATGCTCACAGGTCACCCAGGGGTTCAGTACCGGACATTGATGCTCACAGGTCACCCAGGGGTTCAGTACCGGACATTGATGCTCACAGGTCACCCAGGGGTTCAGTACCGGACATTGATGCTCACAGGTCACCCAGGGGTTCAGTACTGGACATTGATCCTCACAGGTCACCCAGGGGTTCAGTACCGGACATTGATGCTCACAGGTCACCCAGAGGTTCAGTACCGGACATTGATGCTCACAGGTCACCCAGGGGTTCAGTACCGGACATTGATGCTCACAGGTCACCCAGGGGTTCAATACCGGACATTGATGCTCACAGGTCACCCAGGGGTTCAGTACCGGACATTGATGCTCACAGGTCACCCAGGGGTTCAGTACCGGACATTGATGCTCACAGGTCACCCAGAGGTTCAGTACCGGACATTGATGCTCACAGGTCACCCAGAGGTTCAGTACCGGACATTGATGCTCACAGGTCACCCAGGGGTTCAGTACCGGACATTGATGCTCACAGGTCACCCAGAGGTTCAGTACCGGACACTGATGCTCACAGGTCACCCAGAGGTTCAGTACCGGACATTGATGCTCACAGGTCACCCAGGGGTTCAGTACCGGACATTGATGCTCACAGGTCACCCAGAGGTTCAGTACCGGACATTGATGCTCACAGGTCACCCAGAGGTTCAGTACTGGACATTGATGTTCACAGGTCACCCAGGGGTTCAGTACCGGACACTGATGTTCACAGGTCACCCAGAGGTTTAAGAACACAATATAGCGAGAGTGGGACACTGCGAGAGAGTGTAGGACACACCTCGTCTAGTGAGGACGAGTACATGGACCCTATTGACAGTTCAGGACCCGACGCGGACACAACACTGTCAAGCAACACATATGACGTGTACAGTGAACCTCCGTCAAGTTTGCCGCCTGTCAAGTCAGATGTTGTAGCGTCTATACCAGTAATGGAACAGGACCTATACCATCCCTCAGTGGTCGTCACCCCTCAACCATCACCACCAGTAATGGAACAGGACCTATACCATCCCTCAGGCGTCGTCACCCCTCAGTCATCACCACCAGTAATGGAACAGGACACATACCATCCCTCAGTGGTCGTCACCCCTCAGTCATCACCACCAGTAATGGAACAGGACCTATACCATCCCTCAGTGGTCGTCACCCCTCAGTCATCACCACCAGTAATGGAACAGGACCTATACCATCCCTCAGGCGTCGTCACCCCTCAGCCATCACCACCAGTAATGGAACAGGACACATACCATCCCTCAGGCGTCGTCACCCCTCAGTCATCACCACCAGTAATGGAACAGGACCCATACCATCCCTCAGGCGTCGTCACCCCTCAGTCATCACCACCAGTAATGGAACAGGACCCATACCATCCCTCAGGCGTCGTCACCCCTCAGTCATCACCACCAGTAATGGAACAGGACACATACCATCCCTCAGTGGTCGTCACCCCTCAGTCATCACCACCAGTAATGGAACAGGACACATACCATCCCTCAGTGGTCGTCACCCCTCAGTCATCACCACCAGTAATGGAACAGGACACATACCATCCCTCAGTGGTCGTCACCCCTCAGTCATCACCACCAGTAATGGAACAGGACCTATACCATCCCTCAGTGGTCGTCACCCCTCAGTCATCACCACCAGTAATGGAACAGGACCCATACCATCCCTCAGTGGTCGTCACCCCTCAGTCATCACCACCAGTAATGGAACAGGACCTATACCATCCCTCAGTGGTCGTCACCCCTCAGTCATCACCACCAGTAATGGAACAGGACCTATACCATCCCTCAGTGGTCGTCACCCCTCAGTCATCACCACCAGTAATGGAACAGGACCTATACCATCCCTCAGGCGTCGTCACCCCTCAGTCATCACCACCAATTAAGACAAACAACAGTCTTAATGCGTCAAAGACCACCATATTCTCCTCGCGTCGAGGCGACATGAAGAAGAACACAATCACAGAGTACTACCAAATGGAGGTGGAGACCGGGGACCTGTATTACCACGAAGTACCGGACATATACACGGCTCTCTACTACCACATGACCGCCATCTTGTCTCTCCCGGACCTGGATATGGTGGAGATCGACCTGCCTCTGGATGACAAGCCGCTGCCACACTGGACACAGGTCAACCACACTGCCAAGCTTCAGAGTCTAGGTATCTATTCTTGTAACTAATAAACGAATCCACAAGAGGCCGTGACGAGGATTCGAACCTGCGTCCGGGAGCATCCCAGACACTGCCTTAATCCACTGAGCTACGACAGGGTAAAAGGGTTGAAACAGTAGTTCAGTAAAACTTCGGTTTCAACTCTTTTTGACCCTGTCGTAGCTCAGTTGATTAGGCAGTGTCTGGGATGATCCCGGACGCAGGTTCGAATCCTCGCGACGGCCCTTGTGGATTTGTTCATGTGATGCATCACGTTAGTGTGATCTGTGTGTGTAATTGTAACTAATATTTTGCTCATAACGTCATTGAAGAAACTTAAATTTACTAAATAATATTGGAGCACATTTTTTTGCAGCAAATGAATGATAATTGATGAGAAATGAGTGAGAGAAATGATGATATGATGAGTAATGAGGGAGAGGGACGGCCGGTGTTGTGATGAGTAGTGAGAGGGACGATGTTGTGATGAGTAACAAGTGAGAGTGACGGTGTTGTATGAGTAACGAGTGAGAGGGGACGGTGTTGTGATGAGTAACAAGTGACAGGGCCGGTGTTTCAGGAGCCACGGGGATGGAGGCGGCCAGGCGCCAGCATGAGACGTACGGCAGGTCTTCCGTGGAAACATTTCCTCAAGACAAGAGGAAGAAGAAGTCGCTTGAGAGGTACAACTGCTCTATATTCCATTAGAGGTTCCTTCCTAATGTTTCTATACTGTGTAAATATATGTATAATGTATCCCATACATGTGTAAATATTTTAGGGGAACTGTGTCATTATGACACTGCTAGCCTCGTAGTGTGACACATTATGACACTGCTAGCCTCGTGGTGTGACACATTATGACACTGCTAGCCTCGTGGTGTGTGACACATTATGACACTGCTAGCCTCGTGGTGTGACACATTATGACACTGCTAGCCTCGTGGTGTGACACATTATGACACTGCTAGCCTCGTGGTGTGTGACACATTATGACACTGCTAGCCTCGTGGTGTGTGACACAGTATGACACTGCTAGCCTCGTGGTGTGACACATTATGACACTGCTAGCCTCGTGGTGTGACACATTATGATACTGCTAGCCTCGTGGTGTGTGACACATTATGACACTGCTAGCCTCGTGGTGTGACACATTATGACACTGCTAGCCTCGTGGTGTGACACATTATGATACTGCTAGCCTCGTGGTGTGACACATTATGACACGACTAGCAACGCTCACATAACCATTGTCACCAACCAAAGTTATCCTCAACAAACACATATATAAAGACTACTTCAGAATCTCTAAGACGTGACATAACATGTTCACTCACAGTTATCAAACTCTTAACACTCTTAGAATTAAACAAGAAGTAGAAATAACCAATGAACAAATCCACAAGGACCGTGACGAGGATTCGAACCCGCGTCCGGGAGCATCCCAGACGCTGCCTTAATCGACTGAGCTACGACATGGTCAAAAAAAGAGTTGAAACCGAAGTTCTACTGAATTTACTGGATCCTGCAGCCTCTCCGAGACACAAACCAGGGTTTTACACAACTCCCCCCCTGTACTCGAGCTATGCCATTAGTGTTTGTACACTATGTGTGTAGTGTTAGAAGTAGCCAATACCCAAGTATCGGTCACTGTATGGCCTTCCAGCTGCTAAGAATTGTGGCGTGTAAGAAACTGTTGTTACTTAGAGCACAATGATAGATCACAAAACGTCTCACTTGGGGCTAACTTGTCAGCCTCTGCCTCCCTAAACTTACATTTTTCTTCCACTTTATTCCAAAATTACACAAGGGGTCACGTCATAACACCAGGGGTCACGTCGTAACACCAGGGGTCACGTCATAACACCAGGGGTCACGTGTGTTTCAGCATCACAGGTGTGACATTCTGCGGGTGTGGGTTCCTGGGGATCTACCTGGTGGGTGCCGCCTCCTGCCTCCAGCAGCGAGCCCCGGGCCTCCTCCGGGGGCGGCTGGCCGGCTCCTCTGTCGGCTCCCTCATCGCCACCTGCCTCATCTGTGACGTCCCTCTACAGGTCAGTACACGGTGACGTCCCTGTACAGGTCAGTACACGGTGACGTCCCTCTCCAGGTCAGTACACGGTGACGTCCCTCTCCAGGTCAGTACACGGTGACGTCCCTGTACAGGTCAGTACACGGTGACGTCTTGTATTATTATTATTGCATACGTCTTGAACCCAAACGGTCCCCCCAATATCACCTCATCTGGCCGGTGTCATTATCATAACACACAAACGTCACCACCTTCAATGCTCTTTAATAACTCTAGTTAACTGAATGTCTGAAACGCTATGCGTACCAGTAGCTTTAGGTATTGTATATACTATCTCTATCTTTAAATCCGTCATTATGTAACTCTATGGTAACAGTAGCTTTAGGTATTTTATATACTATCTCTATCTTTAAATCCGTCATTATGTAACTCAATGGATGTACCTTTACCTGAATATAAAAATCTAAATCTAAATCTAAATGTAATAGCAGATTAAATGAAACAATAGATTTCTTTAACTCTTAAGAAATTTGCTGAAGTTGGTAGCTTGCGTTACTGATAACTATATATATATATATATATATATATATATATATATATATATATATATATATATATATATATATATATATATATATATGACTGTAGATGGTGACCTTACTGGGCCGCTGTGAGTCGTTACAGACGGTGCGGGAAACACTGCTGAAGACGGCCAAGGCGACGCGGTCTTACATGCTGGGGCCTCTGAGTCCGTTCTTCTTCCTGGAGGAGCCGCTCCTGAAGAACCTTTTAGAGATGTTGCCGGAGGACGCCCACGTCCGCGCCTCGGGTCGTCTCTTCCTCTCCCTCACCCGCGCCGCCACGCTCACCAACGAGGTATGTCAACACCACCACACAGACACACACACATACACACACACACTCACACAAGTTTCAAGCGTAGATATGATAGCACCAAGTAGACTCAGGAATCTGTACACCAGTTGACTGAGAGTTGAGAGGCGGGACCAACGAGCCAGAGCTCAACCCCTGCAAGCACAACTAGGTGAGTAAGCATACTGGTGGTTTTAGGTTGGGTGGTTTTTGGATAATAAGCTGTCGCCAGAGGAACACACAAAGAACACACAGAGGAGAGTATATGTGTCACTTTCCAACTTCGGACTTGCTTTTAATTACATAGATGGTAAAACACTAAAGAAACTGTTCATGACTTATGTGAGACCAAAATTGGAATATGCAGCAGTTGTATGGTGCCCAAATCTCAAGAAGCACATAAATAAACTGGAAAAGGTGCAGCGGCACGCTTTTCATGCTGCTACTTCCTCTGATAATACATCATGTCAAGTCACTCACTAAGGAACTACTCGGATTTGCATGAAATTTGTCAAGACAAAGTTGTCTAACAGACAAACATTTATTACAAACAAAATAAACAATAAAGATTAACTGATGCCTTGGACTTGGTGCCCAACTTGTAGCACGTAACTTGATCACAGTCATAAAAACCTAGTTAATCAACAACTTAGGAAATTATAGCATGTCATATAAAAATCGTATCAATACAGAACTCGTTATTAATATAATAAACTTGTCTGATGAATAAACTTGTCCTGATGAATAGTGACTATGATCACTATTCATCAAGAACATACATAACTATTGAAACAATACATAAACAATTACTTGAGAATATGGTACAATGTCAGTCAGTACTTCAACAATTACTATTCTTCCATGGAGTCTCTGTACGTCAACGTGTGCCTCGCTAGGCTACCGTTCTCGTCTTCATTAATCTTGTTGTTATAGATTCAGCTACTCGGAACACGTTCCAAGTAGCACGGGCTATGGTGAGCCCGTGCTAAAATGTATATACCCCGCAAACTGCTTCAATAAACCCTTGAACTATATGTTTAACACATCTCTAACCCTGTACATGGAGGACAGAAGAAAATGTATATATTCTGGTTAGCATTGTAAATGTGTGGCCACGTCTGTGGCAGAAAATAATAATAAAAAAAAACTGCCAAGGGTACTCCCCCATCCGGGCGAGTCCACACCTAAAATCTCCTGCCCGCAACGCGCTGTCAGTTAGAGCTCCAACACCGTCGAGCGGTATGTGTCGCTCTTGTGTCCATCATGTTACTCCTCTTAATTCTCTAATATCACTTCATAATCACTATATGCATGACTAAATCAAATATGTAACCATCAATGTAAGATAACTGGGCACTTAATATCGCTGTACACGTTAAACTGTACCAATCAAAGGCGCTTACCTCATAATTACTGGAGCGACGACGCTGGCTTACACGAAGTCAAGATGGCGCCTGGAATTTACCTCTCGGGTCGACCATTAATTCTTAATTCGACCGTCATTGTCGACTTCTTGTCCTGACTTGAGTGTGGCGTCAATACGCAGGTAACAATTGGGCTCACCTGTCAACAGGTCCTCACCTGGGACCGCCAGACCTTCTCTCAAGGTGGCCTGATTCACGAAGCAGTCCCGCAAGCATTTACTAACCTGTACATCTTTTCTCAATCTTTGGCGGCTTTGTTTACAATTATTAAGCAGTTAATGAGCTCCGAAGCACCAGGAGGCTGTTTATAACAATAACAACAGTTGATTGGGAAGTTTTCATGCTTGTAAACTGGTTAATAAATGTAACCAAAGCCGTCAAAGATTGAGGAAAGATGTACACGTTCGTAAGTACTTGCGTAACTGCTTCGTGAATCTGGCCCGGGCATGATCACCCTCCCTTGGCCTCAGACTGGCCTTCTGGTTCCACAAGTCGAGATGAACGCCACCATCGCCCTCTTCTTGCTCACAGCACCAGCCTAAGTTGCTGTTTACTGCAGTTTTCTTCGCCAAAACCCAAGAAATGTACTCTTAAAATAAGTGGCGGCGAATTGCGTGCTGCTCCCTCGACCCCACAATGACCAGTGACGCCTCCACACGGCACAAACCCGTGGCACACGGCACAAACCCGTGGCACACGGCACAAACCCGTGGCACACGGCACAAACCCGTGGCACACGGCACAAACCCGTGGCACACGGCACAAACCCGTGGCACACGGCACAAACCCGTGGCACACGGCAGGTCCTTGTTCGTTCCATCGTTGGCTAGCAATGATGAAATAAGCTCGAACATGGCGCTTCTTCCCCCTCGAAAATCCCACACACTGTCGTCATCTTTTCCTGTTCCAACAAAGTTGCTCAGTGACGCCTTAATGCCTTTACAATGCTTCTGTATCGCTGAGGTGAATGAGAAGCGTCGCCAGACATGTGGCTTTATTGATCAAATAATTGCAGTACAGTTATATCCTGCAATAACACAAGCCATTAATACACTATACTTATACACAGTTTGAGCACTGTCTATTCACTATAACATAAACAGTGCTTAAACCAGTGATAGCCAACTGCACATGACTAAAAGCTAGAATATACAGAAATTAAACTAGAAGTTAACATTACACAAACCTGTACATAAACACGACACAGCTGACCTGACGATATAAACAAGTCAAGCGAGCATCCAAACAAAACAGTCAAGCGAGCATCCATCCGATACGATAATATATAACAATCGCCAAACTGTAGTTTACTCTGCAAACTATGGTAAACTGTGATTTTGGTCCTCTGTAGGACAGTGAGAAATAACTCTCATGTTAGGAGCAGAGCCTGAGTCACGAGGCTGACTATATGGGGTTCACTGCAGCAGTTGATATCATTGAAGACACAAAAACCCTCGCGAAATGCAATCTTAAAATGCATACATGTAGCTTATGAGAGCTTTGGTTTTATAATCAATGCTGGAAAAAACTCAGGTATTTAACAGACAAATTTTGTAATTGCAAAGGTAGACCACATAAATTGAAGAGTAATAACATATCAATAGGCTATGTCTCATTTTTCAAATATATTAGTATCTCAGGCCTCCTTATGTACCTTAACTACAGTCAAAAATTTACATCAATATAAAGCCAGATTTAGAAAACATAAGATCTCTGCTATACTATCATGCACCAGCCTTAATCGTACACCATGGCAAAATTATTAAAACGAAAAAAATGCAAAATTAAGCCCCTCAGTATTATATTTGGCTGTCCAATAAGCTACCAAAGTTCCCACTAAGCGGAGGGAACTAAATATACCTAATATCCGTGTTGTAATAAAAAGTATCAGTATGTAGTAATAGTTGAACTGTTAGAACACATTCGTAGTGTAACTAGTGATTCTACATGGATTCAAAAAACAGCCACTCAAATTAAAAATTAATTCACCTAAGTATGCTACAGTCTTGATAAACTAGTTACACACTTCAATGCATATTATATCAACTATATGGGTTTCAGAACGACCACAGGTATGGTCTCTAGGCTAAGCAACTTATATATAAATGCGGTGAGCTAGTTTCATAATTGGATTTGCTTATCATGCACCCTCTCCCCATTCGGTAGTGGAAGGGTTACAATCACCCGTATTTAATACCCAAAGTTAGGAAACTTTGGATATTTGGCTACAATTTATATTAGTAGATCGCTTTGAAGGAAATATTAACAAATTTCTTGAACATTTGTTATAGAACTGTCTCTAAATCTACGTATCTTTTTCGCACGCTATCACACAGTGACGCAGTGTGTGAATAATTTTGCTGACAATTTACATCTGGCCAGGTAATATAATATAAGACATACGATACAGATAATGAGAGAATACAACAATACTGAGACACATACGATACAGGTGTTGAGAAGATACAATAATATTGACATGTACGATACAGGTGGTGAGCGAGTACAAGTCACGAGACGAGCTGCTGAGAGCAGTTCTTTGCTGCTGCTTCTTGCCCGGAATCTCCGGGTTTTCGGTGCCAACATTCCAGGGACGCAGGTGAGTATTTCACGAGTACTAGTGACTCCCCGGCTGGGGAAGGCTGAGGCTTTCTATCAAGCAAAATCTAAGTTTTATCTTGGTGGTTCACTGAAGATTCTTGAGTTTCTAGTTATCCTTTAGGATAGCAATGCTGGAGCTTTGTCCAAATAGCATTTTATCGAGCCATACTATATGGGCAAATGGAGAAGCAAAATTTCCAGTCATCCTGAAAATCAGGACATTCAACTAGATGTATGACAGTAAGTGGAACAACGAAATTAGGACATAGACAGGTTCCATTCTATTACATGTCCACGAGTTAAACCTTGTGTGACGATACGTAGCCTAGTAATGGGTGGTTCCACTTCCTATTACGATGATAGTAAGCCCTTGGGGATTGGTCAACAACACTCATGTTGGTAGTAGTCAGCCATCAATCTATCCAACGGTTGCGCGATATTATGAATTAGAGTTTATATCTAAATATGGAATGAATTTATGTGATCATGGAATGAGTTTATGTGAATATGGAATGAATTTCTGGTATATTGCTAGGTACGATCGAATGGCTTCCTGTGCTGTGAGGTCCGCTAGGTCACTGGAGGCAATACCAATATAATTTAGAATTCATTGTGTCGAGAGACAGGCAGCCAGGTTATACGTAGAGTACTTGTCAGGCTTATATCAAGCTGCCCCCTCCCCCATTCCAGGACGAATTACTGACCCTGCCAAGGATAAAACCCCACAAACTGACTATATAACTCCTGGGTACCTATTTACTGATAGGTGGACAGGACCATTTGGTGATAGGAAACGCGCCCAGCCATTTCTTTCTCGTTCGGGATTCAAACCCGGAATTCCTGATTGTTAGTCTTATTACATTTTGTTTACGTTCCTCTATAACAATAAATGGTATTAACTTTGACCGCTATAATAACTGTTATGGTTAGCTGTTGTTTGGATAGATGAATTTAGTGTGTGGTTTATGCTTGTGTACAATGGTGAATGAACTATCCATGGACAGGTACATGGACGGAGGGATGAGTAACAACATGCCGCTGAAGGGCGACACCACCCTCAGCATCAACGCCTTCGCCGGAGAGTTTGATATCTGCCCCGAGGACGACGAGGAGACCTACGGCCCCACCACGGCCTTCAACCAGACCCTGGAGATGTCTAAGGAGAACCTACGCAAGTTTTACCTGGCTCTGGTGCCGCCCGAGCCCGAGGACCTCGACGTGTACTTCGAGCGTGGATATGCTGACACTGAGAAGTATATAGCAAGTCAACCCGTCCTCTCAAAATAACGTCACTTTTTCGCGCGTATGCGCGCTATGGCGGAAAACTTACGTTATTTGAAATGAAATCGGCTCACTAAGTGATGTACTGTCCCGGCTAAGTACTCACCTAGTTGTGTTTGCGGGGGTTGAGTTCTGGCTCTTTGGTCCCGCCTCTCAACTGGTGTACAGATTCCTGAGCCTATTGGACTCTATCATATCTACATTTGAAACTGTGTATGGAGTCAGCCTCCACCACATCACTACTTAATGCATTCCATTTGTTATATACTTTGACACTGAAAAAAATTCTTTCTAATGTCTCTCTAGTCTGTTAGGTTAGGAGAGGAAACTTTCAATTAATGTTTTTCATGACGTTTTGAAACTTTAGGAGAATTTCCTGCCCTCTTAACCTGCCAAAGAACCCTTAACTTACTGTTTTGGAAAAAAAAAAGAATCCCAAATTTATTTTCAGTTTTTGTTTTATTTTCAAATTACGTCAGTTTTCGGCCATACGGGTAAACGGCTAAAGTCAGACGTAATTTGTAAGAGGACAGGTGTCCTAGTATGCTGATAAAAGGCGAAAGATTTATGCCTTTTGAAGGGAAACCAGAGTTACCAGAGAGAAGACCTTGTAGATTCTCACTGAACATCTTAATATTTTCTTCTACCACCCTCTATTTTTTTTTATCACATTGTTACAACTTACAGAAAACACACACACATTTAACAATCACTCTTCAAAAACTTCATCCAGCTCTTGGGAGGTGGGATGCATGCCCAAGATACAGCAAACATTTCTTCTCTGGATCGCGACACTCTAAAGGCTCTAAAACAGGAAACTAGCCGCTCTTGAGTCTCTTAGTTTGCCTAACGAGTTCCTCACCCACCTCTTTCAGGAACGTAAGTGCACATTTATCCCCAGGCCTCCAGGGTCTCAAGAGCATATTGGCACGAACTTGCAACAACGCTTTAGGTCTCTGTACTTATTATAGTTTCTGGGTCTCCTGAAGGTGGCCGCCCCGCCTCCCTCAGCTGTACTGTAAGGTAGATAGGTATAAGTCCAATGTAGACGCACACGTGTAATCCCATACGACTTGTTTACCTTCCCTCCATGGCTGCAGGGTGACTCCTCCTGGGCGCTTGTGACTGTTGCCAGGTCTGCACAACTGAGGTTCTCTTTGTGCTGGATCTGTAGCTAAACTTCTCTTGACGTCATTGACTGCATCATGTCTAGCACTCTTTCAGGTTCTTTCATTGTGATTTACGACACATGAAACCATGGCTGCCGACTCAGCCGCAGATACACCGGTGTTCGGTGGAAATAGGGGTCTACAAAGTGCAGGGCAACACCAATACATAGGTCCCGATGGTTCAGGCGGGTGCCCAAGGCGGAATTATGGAGAGCCAACAGGAAGTCCCCAGCATGGTGAGCTTGCACAGCTAGGCGGCCTTTGTCCTTCCGGGAAGCTGCCTCCAGCAATGCTCTGACAATTTTTCTCCACTATGGTGTTAACCCATTTGACCTGCTGGCAGTCGTTTGGAAAAGTTGGTCGAGGTTAGCAAGATTGTCCCACTGGCCGGCTACGTCCGTGAATTTAGGATCATAAATCCCAATGGTCTCCCTTAGGTATTCTGGTAGTATCTCATTCACTAATTCACCGGACACTGGTCGGGGATAAGAATGCCGGCAATGAGTCCAAAAAGTTTAAATAAAACTACCCTGACAAAGCATAATGAAACTGAAAAGTTGCAAATTTGATATTATCTACAATACACCATAGAAACTTCATTGTGCAAACTTTGAAAATATGGTCCATATAAATGTATCATTATTTAAAAAATAGGAAAATTCAACATTGTTTTTGTTAAGAAACAATAATTCTTATCTTTGTCCAAATGTTCCCAATCCTACACGATTTTTTTTTTGTTTATCCTGATCGCTTGTTCGAGTCACCTAATTTCTCCAAATGATTTTCTCTTAGGTTAGGCTATTATTAAATATTAGGTTAGGGTGATTTTGTGTATCTGAAGCTGGAGCGTACGGTTGATGAACTCCTTTACCTACACCGAAGTACACTGGGGGTTATATGTAGAACTTAGGCTGGCTCCAGTAGAAATATCCAGACTTCCTGCGGATTCAAGGTAATCCTAGGTTGTAAGATTTTTTTTTTTTTTTTTTTTACAATGGGGAGGTACAGGAAAAGGTGCGTGGCTGGCGCGATTAGTCACCTCATTGCTCTAATAGATTTTCTCATTTATGTTGCGTATGTATTTGTTGGTTTAAAAAAAACTTTGTTAATCAGCTTTTACGGTGATACTTGAAATATTGCAGTAATAGTAAATAATGGTGTGCCGACATGATGACAATTTGTGCGTTTTCCAAAGTATTTGCAGCACGTGTTGCTCTTCATATTCAGGTTACATTATTTTTGTTTCGAGATACATAATTTACTGTCTTAATTATAAAACATGTTTTAGTAGGCGTTTCATTATCATTTTTTCTTATTGTAATAAATCAATTTGTTAGCATAATTAAAATATTAGGTAGAGGGGGTAAAAATGGGACACTTCCTTATGGAACAACAACAGTTGGCAGTCCTATCAGATGGACGTAACACACACACCGGGAAATTCCTTATCAATGTTAGGGAAAAGCCCTAACATAGGTAAGGAATTACCTAACAGGCAGGAGCCAGAGAGTAACGCTAAGGGGCGAGATGTTGGATTGGCGAACAACCGCGAGTGGTGTACCTCAAGGATTTGTTCTGGGACCAATTCTATTTGAAATTTATGTAAATTACATGTTGATGTTTGCGGATGACACGGATTTAATGAGAAGTTACGACAGCTGAAGATTGTCGGATAGGATTGTAGGATACTCCAAGAAGATTTGAACAAGCTGCAGAGGTGGCCACTGGAGTTCAACACGAGCAAGTCTAAAGTGATAGAAATGGGAACAGATAACAGGAGACCAGACAGTACACAATGAAGGAAACTACCTATCTGTGACGACTCGAGAAAGAGATGTAAGAGTAGACGTAACACCACATCTAACTCCAGAGGCACAGATAAGTAGGATAACGTCAGCTGCGTACTCTACACTGGCACAAGTAATTATCAAAAGAAGGGAAGGCTATGTAGCACCAACAAATGTGCGGAATATTCAAAGGGCGCTAAATATCACTAAGGATGTCAATAAGAGAACAGAAACGCATAAGGGGAACGATATCAAAAGTATCCGATTCACTAAGAATTCTATCGAGGGAAAATTGACCGCGAGGAACGGTCGGAAAGCAAGACATACGCTCATCCTGGAAGTCAGGGCATTCAACAAGGATATGCACAACTGTAAGAGGGACAATGCAGTTAGGACAATAAGGAGCAGGGCGGCGCTCCATTAAGTGTTCGTGAGCACGTATGGCAAATACGCAGCCTCGCCAGAGCTGTTTCCCACTGCCGGTTACGGTGGTAGGAATGCCACAGGGACACACTACTCTTAAGAGTACTTAAGAGAATTGCTTCCGGAACTGTTAAGAGCTACAAGGGAAGGTTAGAGGCATTAAATATGCCAAAACTAGAAGATAAATAAAAAAGAGGTGATATGATCACTACATACAAAACAGTACCTCGGAATTGACAAAATTCATAAGGAAGATTTCTTAAGACCTAGAACTTCAAAAACAAGAGGTCATAGTTTTAAGTTACCTAAACAATGCTGCCAAAGAAATATGAGAAAATTCACTTTAGCAAACGTGGTACAGTTGGAACAAGCTAAGTGAGGTGGTGGTCAAAACCATCAGCAGTTTCAAAGTGTTATACTACAAAGAGTACTGGGAAGACGGGACACCAGGAGCGTAGCTCTCATTCTGTAACTACACTTAGGTAATTACACACAAAAGTAGTTTCTACTTTTTCCTTCAGTGTATTCTTGTTTACCCTTAAAAAGAGTATGAATAAGTACTTATAAAGAGAAAGCACCAAGCCTGGAACACCATTTAGCACTACTTACAATTCACACATAACATCGGGACATAAGTATGTATATATACCTTATGAGAGTGCTGGGAAGACGGGACACCACGAGCGTAGCTCTCATCCTGTAACTACACTTAGGTAATTAATTACACCATCATGAATGTTTGTTCCTATTTATGCACAATGAGAAGGCTGTCATTTTCCATCTTTATTCCCCTCAATACTTTGTGGTCCTTTCCCCGTCTTTCTTGTCTACTGGGCAAAATATGAGTGGGAGATTGGAAACAGGATTATTGATTTATGGAATAAATTATTGGGTAACATACAAGCCGCGGGATCGCTGGATTATTTCAAGCACAGGTAGGAATCATACCTGTGCTTGATACATCACACAGTACAAGCACATATGAAGGAGCTTTGGTGGATATAAATAGAAGCTGCCACGTATGGGTCAGAGGCTTTCTGCAGCTTCATTCTTATTGGTAAAGGATGGCAGTGGCAAGTGGTATTCCAATAGTCTTGCTAGTGATAAAAGTATCTGGGGTTAGCCCTTTAAACTTAACATGAGATCTCTATGAAAGGTGAACCAAAGAGTAAGCCTTTAGGTTACAGACCAATAATGAAAGGAAGGACATTTAATGATAATACATAAGTGTTGTAGGTTTCTATTCAATAGTGGCTCAAAATTTAACAAAAGAAAAAATGCATAGACAGTATTGCTAAAGTTAAAATACAGAATTTGTTTAATAATTCTATTTAAAATTTCAAGTCAAAACAATAAGGCATTCTCAAAATAATGAATGGAAACTTCGAGGAAAAATTAATTTGATGAAATAAATCATAAAAAAAGAAAAGTGTTGGTTTTCCTGGGATACCAGGAGAATATTTAGTTTACAAGGTAATTAAAAGACTCCAATACACTGCAGCATAATCTTTTATTTAAGAAAATGATAAACTTGATCTTTATCATGAGGCTAATGCTAGCTGGATATCTGACTGTCAGTAATCCTAAATACAGTGATATGACCTACCTATCAGTTTAGATGATAGGCAGATATATCAATTCCCCATCTGGCTAAATGATAGGCAGATATATCAATTCCTCATCTGTCTAAATGATAGGCAGATATACCAATTCCCCATCTATCTAGATAATAGGCAGATACAGTATACCAACTCCCCATCAGTCTAGACGAGAGGCAGTTATATCAACGCCCCATCAGTCTAGAACTCTAGATGATAAGCTGATATACCAACTACCTACCTCTTACCAAAGGAACTTGCTAGCAGCAGACATTTTCTTTCCAAGTCTTCTAGTCAATACAGAATGTTATACAGTATAACCTTTCAGGCTTATAACACACAGCTGCAGTTCTGGCAAGACGTAAACAATACACGGCTCTTATAATTTTCTCCAGATGTCCAATTACGGATACAAAAATGTGGAAGTGGAAGTAATTCACAGTGTAAGCACTGGCAAAACAAATCACGATGTCAAATGAGCGCAAAGAAAGGGCACGGATATAGCGGTCATGATTTTCTAGCACACACAAAACATCACATGTTAAAAATACCCGATACTTCACGGCACGAAGACACGAAACGAAAACAAAATAAAAAATGGCTGGAAAGTTTGCTGTACGATACCGAAAGATATTTTCATCTTTCCATCCCATCCGAATACTTACCATAGACTTCAGAATAAATTAATATATCATCAATACCACAATACCCTGAAATAAAAAGGTTTTATTTATTGTTTTGTAAAACGAGAAGCAACAAATTTCTGCATAAAACAGGTACTGTATTACCTGTAGCCTTTTCCATGCTCTAAAATTGAGTGAGATATATAATAAGGCAGACAAATGAGCTAGGAGAGAAGGCAGCATTTTAAATACGATATAAAAATACAAATTAGCGCAGTTTTCAAATTATATTGTATTTCAACGGATTTCGTATAAATATAATAATCTCTCACTTATCATAAAGAGTGCCCGCATCAGTTTCCTGGACCCCTCCTTTGACGTCAAAACTATACACTGCTGACAAATCCCAGCATTGCTAAAGTGTAGTAACAGAAATTCCACACTAAAATTGCAGAGCTGTTGGGGAACTTCTTTCGATGAGTCTGCTGGGGGATCACTAGTTATGGCTGTAAATAAAAGGGTCTAATTAATTGGCACGGAAAGCTCTGCAACTCGGAAAAACCTCAAAACGCAGATGTAGCAAATTGTTTAAAACGAGAAATCCGCAAACGTTCTTCGATTAAATGCTGCACAGCTAACGCTATGCTAATATGCTGCATCTCTGGGAAGTAAAACAAATTCGCGGAAGCCTGGTATAACCGCACGCAACAGCCCGATTATTTGGCCAAATTAAAATGCCAAGATGAAAAGTAGCAGCATAATTTATAACAAAAAATGTCTTCAGTGCCAAGAAATAGATATGAAAATGCAACCAATTTTTACACACACATACACACACACACACACAAAAATATTAGATTTATTTTGTTTAAATACATTACAAGGTTCTCAGAACCTCACGTCTCCCCATTTAGGTCTATTAATTGCCACATTCACATGGCTTCTTTTAAAGTGAAATGTTGACAAACTTATGATAATTTGATAATATCCATCTTCCAGTAAATATACAATTATATGTAAATGCATGAACAAAACTTGAATAAACCCTCCATACATTTTAGTGTATCCAAATAATCGAACGTCTGAAAAGTACCCAACTGTTAAAATTTTGATCCTCTACAAACTTTTATTTTCCATATTGATATCTAATAAAATCAATTAAATGTCAGAGAATTATTACCACAACTTTCAAAATTATCAATCTCAAATTGTAAATTGATAAAAATCAATATACGAAGAACAAGAGTATGTCTGTAATTCATGATCTTGAGCTTATCATATTTAAGCCCCTTCATTTTGGATGATTAACATGACTATTCCAAATTAACCTTTATCTAGTGAAGTTCTTTCCAAAGCATATCTTTAACACGAGCTGGAAATATTTGACATATGTTGTCAAATTTTTTCCTTGTCAGTCAAGAATGTCTAATTACTGTATTAGCAACTATCTAATATAATGTCTAGTCTTTTCAGCTACAAGAATACAACTTCATGTAATAATCATTTTCAAAATTAATACTTTGTAACAGCACAAACTTAAAACTAATTAATGCCATGAATACCCAAATAATTATAAAAATTTGGCCAAATTAAGAAAACAAAAATTATTTCTGCTTTTTAACAAGTTCGTACCTACTGACAGCATTCATATAACTAAATTAGTATTTAATAGTAAATGCAGCACTACAGGTGCTACTGTTCCTAACAGAGTAAAAAAATGAGTGTGTCAGCTGTCATCAACATTCAGTGACAAATAAACCCCCCCCCCGACCCCCCCCCAAAAAAAAATTAAAAATAATAATAATAATTCAAGCAAACACGTTACACACACTTCTCAGAACACTCATTGGTTCCATGGATTGTAAGCGGCAAAAAGCGAATTCTGACTCTGAGAGGCAGACTGAGAGGGTTTTATATTTGTAGAAGCAGCCTTGTTGGAATTACTGGACAAGCCAGTTGGCCAAACAGGTGGCACCATGCTTGGGTGCGGCACCCCCGAGGGTGCTGGAACACCTGTAGGTGCGGGCACACCTGTTGGGGCAGGTACGCCAGTTGGCACAGTACCAGCAGCAGCTGTAGTACCCTTCATCAAATTAAGGATCCTCTCCTGTAACTCGGACTGTTTATTTCCTGTACCGCCTACAGCTCCATGTGACATCATGGGAGCAGCTACTGGGGTGGCTGGCACATGTGTGGTAATGCCATATGGATTATACAGCCCACTATGTACACTTGGTATACCAGCATAACCTGGGTAAGCACTGCCAGTAACAGCTGCAGCTGCTGCTGTTGGGGGAACTACACTGACAGTGCTAGGAACAGCAGCAGCAGCAGCAGCCGCCGCAGCTGCAGCAGCTGCAGCAACAGCAGCAGCATTAGCTGTGCCTACTGCTGAAGTACCCTGGCTGACAGGTGTCTCACCCACAACAGTGTTGGAACCATAATTATAGCCAGGGTATGTAACTGCCATGGGTCGGCTTGCACTTGCTCCTGCAAAATAAGATATTCAAAACCAAAATCAGTTTTATGAATATTTAGAGAAATGCCTATCAAATACCTTAGTTTAATAATAGGTAGTACACTTCCGTAACTTACCATGCATTGTTTTACAGAGGAGTAAAGACCCATACACAATTATATCTTAACAGAGATTATACAGTACTGTAAAAAGTTAAGTCATCCCCAATCAATCTGCAAAGGTTCATACCTGAAGTAGAAACATTCCTTACATTAGACAAGGATAAAGAAACCAAATAATACCTTTAAAACAGGACAATAAAAGAAAAACACCACATCAGACAAATGTTGAACAAGTATATTGAGAGGAGGGAAGTTATTTCTCCAAACAATTATGTCATGCAGTCAGAATTTTTATTTTTTATTATTTCTACTAGCCCTTCAGCGTCTCTGCAACTCGAAACATTCACGTTTCAGCTCGGGAAAAAATTCTATGGATCAAAAGTTGTAAATAATTAACAATGAAATCTCAAAACATGTAGCATAGCAACAAAAATGAGCCGAGACATCTGTTTCGTTACAACCCCTTCCTACCCAATACACACACAACAGCCAAGCTTTATGGAAGTATAACACAAGACACTAAGCTCATATGCAAGATAACTCATTGAATATAACTTCAGTTATTTAACCACTATTTTAGTGTTACCCATTACTTCAAACACAAGTAAGAGATCAAGATCTGTAAATCTTGCAGACATCTCAAGAATTATGTCAGTAACCAAAGAGCAAAAGACTAACACATGTAAAAACTGTACAGACAAAAATTATCCCTTGCATGCTTTTGCCGTAAAAACTACACATAACAAACATTCCAAAACTGAGAAAGAAGGAGAAAAAGATGAGACACAAGATGGAAGATAGTAAATGAACTGAAGGGATTGAGAAGTTAGATGACTGGATGAATTAATGGGTAGAGAAGAAATGAGGGGGAGGTGTAAAGGTTCAAAAGGGGAGGATATATAAAAGATGAGGGGGGAGAGAGAGAGAGAGATGTGTGGGACATGTTGATGAGTAAAGTTTACTCACACTTAAGAGATTGGTAACCTGAGATGCCAATTATCATACATGTAGCATACTTACACTATCACATATTTGTAAACCATTTTCATCATATAAACAAGTACAGTATATACAGCACAAGCACAGTCTGAATTTTGCCAGAGAATACACTTCCGCATGTCATGGAAGGTATAGTGGGGAACAGAGTGGAGGGCAACATCTATTAAGATGTTGTAAAAAAAAGGAGAGCATAGAGAGGCAGATTGGACAGTTTGAGAAGAGCAGTGTGAAGGGTGAAAAGATTCCAAGTTAGCCATATCAAATTGCTACCAAGGGAAAGAGAGAGGAGGGTGAGAAAAGAAAAGGGCCATGAAGATGGGGAAATGGTCACTGTTATGGAGGTCATCAAGGACCTTTCCTGTCAAGTTTCCATAAATGGAAGCGGAGCAAAGAGAAAGATCAATACAAGAAAGGGTGTGAGTGCGTGAGTCAATACGAGTCAGCTCACCGGAATTCAGTAGAGACAATGGAAAAGATAGACCAAAAGATTCCAGAAGATGGCCTCAGCTAATTATCAGATCACCACCTCAGAGGGCATGCCAAGAGTTAAAAATCATCCAAAAGATGGTATTTAATGTGTCTAGGAGGTGGAATATGTGGGCAGAAATAAATGGACAACAGACAGCATACCATTTAATCACAAAGATAAAGGTGGCAGAGGAATAAATATTCAACTGAAAAGCAGGGAAACAAAGGGAACATCATTCAGGATCTAGAGAGCAAGTCAGGTGTTCCAGTAAAGCCTGGGGAAGAGAAAAGAAAGGAAGACTCCTGGAGACTTACACAAAGCAGTGAAAATTGTGAGATCAAAAGTTGTAGTTCGTAAGAATTGGCATAAAATCAGCATTTAATGTAATGAAATGCCAATTTCTGGGTGAGCCCCAGTGGCCCCTCCACCTGAAGCTATTACACTGAATCAGTGCCATACTACTAGGTGCCATCAGTCACGGAGTTCTTATTGACCTACAGGGGACTACGAGTCAGTACCTGGTCCCCTCAGAGAGGCGCAGGGAGTGGTGGCACTATAAAATCTTTATATAAAGTTATATATTTTATATAAAGACACTGGGGATGACTCGAGAAATACAAGCACTCGAACAGGGAACCAGGAAAACCAGATCAACCCATAAAAAGTTCACCGAAGCAGAACCAGTGGCACAAAGGTAGCGACATAAAGCCATCACCAGACAAAGCGCATGATGCACCCCACAACCAAACCAACCAAACATCCATTGCCAGAGGACCCCTCCGAAAATCAGCCGATGCATTTTTCTCCAGAAAAGGAGGAGCCGACTGCGAATGAACAAAACACAAAACAAGACCTAGGGAACAAAACCCCCGGTGCTGAAGAAGTACATGAAGCTTACCCACCTCACAACCACAGGCCAGAGGAAAAACAAAAACAAAAACAAAAAAACAAAACCTACAAAAAATAATCCCAGACTGAAGGGGCCACCGGCAACCGAGCAGAAGAAAGAAAAGAAAGAACTCGGTCAAGGGACCAGGCAGGCTCACATGGCACACGAGCAGGCTGGAGGTGAAACATAATATGAGAAAGCATGCAAAATGGGGCAGAAGAGGTATCAACTCTGAAAGCAAGCTGGAGCAGTTGCACGATAAGAGGCAACAGTATTCAGCAAAGTATGACAATCAAGAAGCAGCCAAGAAAGGCAGAAGAACCCATACGGAAACCAAAGAACAATGACAGAGAGACAGGAAATGGCAGCAGGAACACCAAGAGAATTCATACTATAGCCAGGAAGAAGACTGCAGGTAGGACAGCCACCTGATCACCAGAAAGATGATAATAAACACATTTCAAAAACTTCAGATGCAAAGAGCATAGGAGAGGGTATAACCAGCAAGGTATGCCACTCGCCCGACCCTCTGAAAGAGGTAGAGCCGCAGAAAAATGCCCAGGTTCGGATACCAAGCAAGCAGCACCTGAAACCAAGGCTGGGCCAGCAACTAAGGAGCCAGGAGAGTCACTCGGCCCTTGTAGGACTTCAGGTATGCCAGCACTCTGAGCAAGAGCCAGACCAAGGTAAAGAGTTAAAGGCACCACCACCTTGACCAGCCGAAAGGCGTCTACCTTCAAGGCCTCACAGTCAGGAAATGGGGCCGCATAGAGAAGCAGAGATGCCGAGACCATGCCAATGCGAAAAGGTCGGTCCACTTTTCAACCCAACCTGTCTCATGGTAAGGTTGAAAATAATTCAATTCAAGGTAACTCTTTATGTAAATGTAAGAAAAACAAATACTGCACACAACCCATTAGCCAACACAATTAAGCTCTCATTCATATCTGCCCACTCATTCATATACCAGTATTTCACTTACTTGAGCCATCGGAGCCCCCCTAACTCAGGACCATAAAACCGGAAGATAGTACCAACCAAGCTACCAGCTGTAATGGGTGTTCACCCATTACACATCACACACACATGTATATATTGCTAACCAACGCCTAAAATGAGCCATCAACCTACGACTATAATGCTGTAGGTAAATTGTTCAATAATTCTATAACACAGTTTTCAAATTTATAATTAACAGGTCTTTCTGGAATTTATAAAATTGATGGCTACTGTTTCGTATTATATTTTTGTGTTGATTTGATCAACTTATTGATAAAGGAAAAGGTGAGACCATGCCAATGCCGGATGTTTGGGCATGTCTGGGTGTCCGAACGACCGGCAAAGCCAGAGGAAGGGAATCGGCAGCGACAGTCCATCCAATGGAAACAGGATGGAAACGGAACCAACCAATGGCCAGGATATTGGACACACCTGAGAACTAAGCAGATAAGCCACTTGAAGAGTCTTGCTGAAGAGACCGAAGCCAGGGCGACTGACCGGGCACACTTCAGGGTAAGAATTGGTCATGGAATGACCAGCTGCTCTGGCCTGCCTCCCTCCCCAACCCCCAAACGAGGGAAAGAGGTGGGGCGAACTACTGCGCGTTAGTTTTCACTAACTTTTGACCGTTTGTTTAATAAATTGTCAGGGAGAGTTCTTTTAGTGGTTTTGAGGCTGGGATCTCACTTCTAACCCATGCAGTAGTCTGTTTAGGTTTGCCGAGTTTCTGGGTGCCTTACCTTGGATGGTTGCAGACATGAATGACTTTATATAAAAAAGTTTTTAACTCCCTGCATCTCTCTGAGGTGACCAGGTTCTGGCTCCCACACCGTCATTCCATTTATGTTGGTTTTGATAACTAAGCAGAGAGTTTGATCATAAATTATGAGCTAAATGTGAAAGAACTGGAGTTAAATGCACCAAAAGGAGCTAAATTGGCAACCCAGCTGAGAAATATATATTCACACACTATCAGACAAGTCTGAACTTGTCTGATGTAAGACTTGCTTAACTACTACACACCACTACCTCATCTTTATAAAACTCGTTCCCAAAGCCATCCCAAAACTTATACCAAAAACATAATGCATTTAACTGTATAACATTTTTTCACAAAATATTATAGATAAACCTTCTTACATATTCCAGGTTAAGGGAATATGATTTTGAAATGGCAATAGATAGATAGATAGATTATTATATATATACACACACACACACACACACACACACACACATACAAAATGTAAATCTATTTTTAGTGAAAAGTGATTCCTTGGCATCAAAACAGGCCCAACATCTATCTCTACCTCAATTAAAAGCATAGTTCTGATTGTTTTGGGAGCTTGTAAGCAAAAAAGTTTTATTTGTTATCACATTGGTAACCCTGCTGCATGAATATTATGCATTACTGACGGCTAAAATTTTGCATATGTTACTTCACATATGTTATGTCACATATGTTATATCACATATGAGTAAAATAAGTTCTTGCATATGTTACTCAACATCCTACCAAATTTCATGTAAATCTGAAGGTATCAGGTTGGAAGC